GCAAATGAAATATGGAATTTCGATTGAGCATTTCAATGCAATTTGTATTGTTCTCCAACAAAATAAAGGACGTCGGTTAAGCATTTGATATTAATTGTAATAATTTCACTAATGACAGCAACATAAAACTATGTTGTGAACCAGTTCTTAAACATGAAACATCCATCCTACATTTTACATCCCAAAAAGCTACCTGAAATATTTTTTGTCGTGTTGCTAGACAGTAGTTTGGGTATTACCCTAATACATTACACAGTTTATGTTATATATACAAATTCATCAGATATAATCAATGAAAATTCTGAACTATTCTAAATAAGTATCACATAACATTATATGCTGACGTGGAATGATATCAAGAATATAAGACCAGCTATAACTGATACCTTGTGCAGGGCTCGAATTAAACCTTTTTAGGTGGGGAGGGTTCCAAATTAATATGTTTTGTTTCCAAGTCTATATTTAGAAAAACTGCAAAAATAACTCGCCCCCCCCCCCACACCACCACCACAATTGCAAAACATTACAACGGCTGAGAATGCTACGCCCGAACCAAAAATATTATGATATTCAAACACAAAACCGTCTACAGTCAAATGTAGGAAGGTAGTTGCTCTTAATGAGGCAGAATAAAATTAAAAAACGTAAAGAAATACATAAAACAGACATTCCAGCCCCATTATTCAATAGAAGTAAGTTTGACTTAAAACACCTGTATCCAAATGACAGTAACTTGTTTTTATTATATATATATATATATATACATGGCGTAAATACGTATATATATATCCATTATATTAGAAAATTGTCTTATACATATATATATATATTTAATATAAACTCATTATAAAATTAGGTGGTTTTATATGTGTTATTATCTTATAAAACAAACTCAGACTTTGTACAATATAACTCAAATTACTTTTCAGCCACTCAGTTACTTGCTTCAGAACAACAATACTGAGAAAGATAAATAGACAGTCTCTAATATTCAGTCAGCTACTTGCTTCAGAGCAACATTAGTGAGAAAGATAAATAGACAGTCTCTAACATTCAATCAGCTACTTGTCGGGGAACAACAATACTGAGAAAGATAAATAGACAGTCTCTAGCATTCAGTCAGCTACTTGTCTGAGAACAACAATACTGAGAAAGATAAATAGACAGTCTCTAACATTCAGTCAGTTACTTGTCTGAGAACAACAGTACTGAGAAAGATAAATAGACAGTCTCTAACGTTCCGTCAGCTACTTGCTTCAGACCAACATTAGTGAGAAAGATAAATAGACAGTCTCTAACGTTCCGTCAGCTACTTGCTTCAGACCAACATTAGTGAGAAAGATAAATAGACAGTCTCTAACGTTCCGTCAGCTACTTGCTTCAGACCAACATTAGTGAGAAAGATAAATAGACAGTCTCTAACATTCAGTCAGCTACTTGTTTCAGAACAACAATACTGAGAATGATAAATAGACAGTCTATAGCATTCAATCTGCTAATGTCGGTATGGGGAACAGCCTGAAGTCTTTCGTGGCCGAATAGGAAGTGACATGAACAATAGTGACACATAGCTTCCGGTATCCGTGTTCTGTGTCTAATTTGTTTAGTACTTCAACAGAAATCCACTAGTGGTACATGAGAATATAAATATCAACTCAATAATGACTAGTGGTTGGATAAAATAGAAATGCCTTCGAGTCACTGAGTCATAATGTTTGTGAATACTGAACTGCCCTCACTGAACACACGACAAAGTTATCTCACTGTTACAGCAATTGCCAAGATATGCGATTAATTTATTTAACAATGATGCTGTAATCATTGAAAAAAGAATAAAAAGTGGTGGAATAAGTAACACTTTAAATACATCTAATCTACACATTGCGTGTTGTTTGTAAAGTCAAATATTTATTATTATTTTTCTCTGCAAAGATGGAAAACATCAGTAGAATTATTTCGGCTTGTCAGGTAGCGAAATAATTTTTTTTTGTTATGGTTTTGTTTATCGTTCATTTGTTATTCCTTCTATCGCTCAGTTTATTTATGAATGTTTAGTTACATTAAAACGATAACTCACCTCTTAGCTGATCGCATTTATCTTGAGTAAATATGTATGTATCATGAAACTGACGCCAGCTTCCCTAGTGGTGACGTACAGATATTATTAATGTAGCAAAAGACTACGTGAGTCACGAGACAGTTAGTGAATTATTGCTGTTTGTCATTCGATATTGTTATTAATATAGAAAGGTAAGTTTGGAATAGTGTGTTGCTGTTTTTTTTGGAATTAGTTTTTTTCTTCTTCTGGTCCTCTTTCCTGATCCCATTATTTGAAATAATTAGTATTGATATTTATGTGTTACTGTTAATTAACATTAGTATCAAGGCCTGGCCAAGCACGTATTTATTAACTTTGTTTTGGTAAGTGTTAGAGTTTATTCCAAATGTTGTTACAGTTTAATAAATTGAACCCTAGTTATAGCTGCGTCTTATTTTAGACCGTTACAGGCTAGAATAGAGGAAAATAGTTTCAGTTGAATGATCAAGCAGTTAGTATCATAACTTGGTTCAATTTCAAACGTTATTACTTTGGGTTAATAAGTTAATTCTTTATGTCATTTATTTACTTTATACATTTTTATGTTTAATTCAGTTAAATAATCTACCACTGTTCTAACAAGTAACTATTTTTAATATGTAGATCGTTATCTTCAACTTTCTAAACTGTAAATTATTCATACAACCTTCAGCAATTTACAATAACTATGTTAACTGGAAATCGTTACAACTTTTTGTGCAACACGATTGTAAAACACTGCAATAAGACGAGGGTGTTAAACATAGTACATTCAAGTGTAATTTATTGTGTGTAGTGTGATTATTTTTCATTATGACTTAACTAGATCTAATTTCAAATATGTTTGGATGAAAGTCCAAAGATAATCTTTTGTATGAAAAAAAAAATAAACATGATGTTATTTATCAGACAATTTGAGCCTCCTTGTGTTTAGTAGTTTGACTGGAGAAGAACCAGCCCCAGTAATGTTTTGGACCTTTACCAAAGTGCAGGAATGGACGCCATCTGTCGGTTTCCTCTTCATACCGCCAATATAAGTTGCCTATTATACAACCGGTGAAGAGCAACCCAAAGGAAATAATACCTAAACAGATCATAGAAATCTGAAAAGCAGTTTGTTTTGAGTTTTGAATCACATATGACGGAATACACAACCACGGCGTTAAGACGGTTAAAATGATGAATCCAGCAAAGAGTATGAAAGAACACGATTCTGAACACATCTGGATTTGTCTCCGTTTCGTCTCCAGTGATGGTGATTGAGGATACAGTATGTATGGACCGTCACTGAAAATAATAAAAGTATTCAAACCAAACATATTAGAATACAAGTATGGTTAATGACAAGTATGGTTAAAAGCAGACAAAGTTTACTTGAAATAAAGGATGAACTCATTTAAAAAAACTATTGAATACGATAGTTTCATGACATTAATTGCAAACAACGAGACTTTATTTTTACACATTTCTTCCATAGGAAATAAATGCTTTAAAGGCAAAAATTACTTTTCGAAACAAACTTTCTGAAGAAGATTAATGCTCGGCAGTATATTTACATATTTATTGATTTTGTAGTCACGCATGAGTTAATTTTTTAGTAGCTTTGATCTTAGCTTTTGTGACACAACATTGACACACGTGAACAACGTATTTCATCACTATGAGGTAGCGTGACAGCTGGACACTTCCAGTTCTTACCTTTCCATGAGCAGAATAAAAATAAATCTTTATTCAAGTATGTTCAGAAAATTTTTTTTCAAAAATGTAAGCGGTGTACTGCATTTATTATGTACTCGTAAACAAGTAGTCGTGAACTTGTTTGACTCTCATCGACTCGGGTCAAGGTTTACAAGCCACAGTGGTCATTCATGAGAACTTGAAAAAGAACCGCGTAAATTGTTTATTTTACTGAAATTTTCAAACATTTCCAGATATATTTGCTCTTAAAACACTTACAGATCTTTATATATTGTAAATTCGCACTGTGCAGTACTTATCTTACTTCACGGATTAGTTACACGCAGTCAACGAGTGTGTCCCACATGGACATATTGGGCTTTCTCTTAGATGATGTTGTGGAAAACCTAGTTTTCATCTTGAAACTGCCTTTCTCTAGCCACACTGATGTGTCTACGTTTATAAATGTCTGCCTTGCTTTCACCTATATCATGAGTAGTATCTGCCATTTGAGGGGGATACCGTTATTGTTTTGTCTATAGAGTGTTATGCTCTCTCAGTTTCCATCCAGAATTATTACTGATAAGACCTCTCGATGGAGTAAAAGAAGTGGTATTTTTGGTCTTCATGTAATCGTTCTTGTCTTGTGTTGTAAGTAAATAAAGATTACTTTTCACTTCAGTTTGCACTGTGTTTTGTTTCTTTTCTTCGACTCAATCAAGTCGAATATTTAGCTTTAACTCCATAATACATATCCTGGTCGTTCCTCCTCGTATGTCCAGTTACTACCCAAAAGGTGAATCAATGAACCTGAGAATACCACAAAGTTTCTATGTTGTCTCTCCTTTGGGTGTAAAGTATATAAAAATGAAGGGGTGGCAGAGTTTTGTACAAATTGAAATGAGCTGGAAGTAAATATTTCCTTGGATGTGTAATTAGAATGACAACAAATTTAGGTAATTTAGAATTCTGAGACTTTGACATGACAAAATGTGTGTTATCAATATAGTTACTTACTACTGTTTATGTTTCTTAAATAAATATATTCTTTCTTCAGCAGCCAGAATTTAAATTGGGCTACGATTCAAATTGTTTTTATAGAAGACAGCAAGCTTGTCAGTTGAAGAGCATTAAACCTTATTGTAAGTATTGAACACCAACATTCAACATCATAAATATGAATAAAGATTATTTGTTGTTTGTTTTACATTTTCATTACTAGTCTTACCTTTATCGTCCATGTTCATTTTGTTCCTTCACATCTACTGTCTTAAAAGATGCCTAAAGTAAGTTATTAAGCAACAATTTTCGTGCTGTGATCAAGGATTTGTTATTGTAGAGTTTATTTTGAATGCACTTCTATGTTTCGTTTGATGTTAAGCTTGTTAATCAAGACTATATAATATTTTTCCTAAAACCACCTAGAACATGCAGTGGGTAGGAAGAAGCTGTGACTCAGATAAGGACATGATGTAAAAGTGTAGCAAGATCTAGGATAAGCCATTTTGAGAGTTATACCATTGCTTTACACCTTAGGGACTATGAAGTTGAAAGGCAACTTGGAGAGACGCCAAGTGCTACACCAATTTGATTTATTTGGGTTACCTCACATATACAGGAGCATAGGATGGCGAATGAGGTGTCTTCTTTTGAACATCTAGATGTAAGCTAACTAGTCATGCACCACCAGGGTCTTGTTATCGGAGAAAGAGGTAAGATGCATATGGTTGACAATGTGAAACAGTCAGTATCTGTCCATGTTCCCGCAGAAGCCTGGGTATTAATAAATCTTCCACGCTACTGAGGCATACTGCTCTGATCGTAACTGGAAATATTGAATTATTAAGGATGTCCATGTTTTAAAGCTTTTGGAAGAGAAATAAAGTCTTGCTCAAACAACGATGATGTCTCAGTCACACAACAGCATATTAATGTGGTGACACACAAGAATGCTTTTTCCATGCAGCAGACATACAAAAATCTGCTGAAACATTTATTTGGTGCAAAACAATAGATCTGGCTTTTAGCTGTTGGATAACGAATGTAGGCCTAAGACTAACTTAAGCACTCAAAAAAGAAAAAGACGAAAAGAATGCTATGAATTTTGCATCATGCCATACATCCTGGTAAAGCATTTGTTACTTTGTCTAAGCATTCTGAAATTACCTAAACCACTCTTTAGGAACACCTGAAATAATATTGCTACCATTAACAAATATTATAGACTTAAGTAAATATAAAGACAAAGTCTTGCAAGCAAAACTTCAGTAAATGTAAGATTAAAGTATTAAAACAGTAACTGTACAACGAAATAAATTATTCTAAACACCATCAATTTTATGGTAAAAATTCACACAAATAACCAACACCAAGACAAAAAACGTGGAGAACGGCCTTCTGTAATCTAAAATTCCTTCACACACAAACAAATAAAAAAACTTCACTGATGTCACTCCAACATGTTACTTCAATTCCTCCTTCACACACAAACAAATAAAAAAACTTCACTGATGTCACTCCAACATGTTACTTCAATTCCTAGATTAATTATTTTCAACAGGAATCATGTAGTCGGTAGACTGTGTATGTAGGGATAGCTAAGGTACTCAATAGGTATAATACAAATATACATGCTAAAATTCAACGATGACAGAGAGTTTTACATTAAACAATTATTGCCAAACACACTCATACGTTTCTCAACCCAACAAGAAGCCATCGCTAAGATACCAAACCAGAAAGTGACCAACCCACCAAATTGTTCATCTTTCATCTTGTTTCAGTCAAGATAACTCTACAAGTAATTTATCATTAACGTCATTTTAAACCTAAATTCACTCTTTGTGTTTCTGGGCAGTACACGATGTCATCACGTAGTCGTAATAACTAGTAGTAATTTTAAAAAGTCAAAACATAATTCTAATGTAAACGATGTTATCATTAACCTTTAAAGTTATTTTTTTACAGATATTTACTATTCCTTTAAAAAGCTTAAGTACAGGGTGAAACAGGAATTACCAGCAAATAATAGATAAACATTATATGACTGCAACATGTAGCATACCCAATGCTTTGTACACTATACAATCAGTGTTTTTAGGGAGCCAACCACTATATTATATATGAAGTGAAGGAGTAAAAAAATCAATACACATAATACTGAATTTTATAAAATACACTAGCTTTCAGTCAGGGGTAAGAACATCACAAAACAAGTAATAAAAACATTTTGTAAAAGTAAAATGATGTAGGAATGGCAGTGCCAAAAAGAATACAAACAAGAATATAGGGATGATACAGCTACACATATATCATCCCTACCTGACTTTCAATATTAAAATTTAATGTTACACTGTAAAACGCATACTTGACTTTAATATTACTACAGTTGAAAGTTATATATTCCTGACTGTTGGTATGTAGTACGTTTATCATAACATTATGGTTATGTCAGGGTTGGCATCAATGTAGTGTAACTAAGATCCTAGGCCTTACGTACAAGGAAAACCAAGTTGAGTCAAAACATGTCTTGATTATTACAGACCCGCTACGAGGTCGTCGAATTGACCAACCTCGTAACCATTTTGTACTCGTGCATTTTACAGTGTAACATTGAGTCTTAATATCGAGAGTCATGTAGGAATGATCTACATATAGCTGTATCATCCCTAAATTTTTGTTCGCATTCTTTTTGACACTACCATCCCTACATCAATTTATATTTACAAAATGTTTTTTTTTCTATATTAATTGTGCAATTACAAGAGCTTGTCTAAAATACGACATCATGAAATACTTCTTGCTCAATATTGACACGTTTTATTAATACATTCAATTCAAACTTCAGGATTTTTTGTATATGCTTATTATAACACATATTCATCATTTCAGAGCGTATAGGATAAAATTGGGTATGTTAAGTTACAATCACAAATTTGTTATTTGTCGATAAAGTTATTTTACACTCAATTATTTGAAGTTAAAAAACACATGCTTTTACTGTGTATTCAGCAAGTGCTTGCCAGATTCCATCACGACTGTTATCACACCGGTTTAACTAGTTTGGAAACTACAGCGGTAGAACTGTTGTTGTACTGATGAGGTTGCCATAAGTAGGTCAAGCATGAACTAAGCGTCACTGTGAAGTAACCTTGAAAGCAGCAGATGAATGACGACAGGTAGTTAGTTGGAATAACTCACAATTTTGACATTTTCGGCACTTATTATTATTATTATTAGAGAAATAATGTTAATTTATGAATCGCAAATTGTGACTATTGTTATTATAACTAAACGTAGACATAGTATTGCTGATACAGAATTTGCTTTGTTGATTATACACAAACACGTCAGGTTACTATACTGGGAGATATCTAACAGTTCGAATCGTTAGTGTGCTTCAGTAGGCTATCTAATTAAGCAAGATTTAACGTACGAAAAATATCAACTTCAGCTGTTGCTTTTAGTTGATTTTTTTTACCTGACATAACTTCAACTACTCATTTTATTTTTGATATTCCTGTTTATTACACTTTAGACAAATTTATCTAAAGAAAATACAATAGGAAAATAAAGACGTTAAATCAAGCACGCTGAATAGAATAAAACAAAACTAAACTTTCAGAATAAATTATACTCTATCTCAAAATAATAATATACGATCAGAATTGGAGATATTTACACCATATACAAGCCGGTCTTATTACTTCAAGGGGATATTTACATCAAGCAAAGACCCTGCTGGGAAACGAGATCACTTGAGATTGATGCAGATAAACATGGTTTGTAACAACGAGAAAACTACACATGATTTCCAGGTCAAGTGGCCACCAAAACTCGCAGTCCAATACCAAGACTGAGACTGCATTTACCGAACAGGTGGTACAGTCTAATTCCATGTTTAGATAAAAAATATCAACAAGTTTGTCAGTTCAAACCAGAACCATAGTAAAAGAACTAACTTTTGAAACATACACGCACATACAAAATTAACTGACAGGCTCGTTTCTGTCTTGAAAAAGAGACTTTGCTCGAAACGTCGCAGCTTAGGAAAGGAAAAATAAAACCACTGTAATTTTTTACTGTGATTTATCTCCAAAATCTAATTTCTTTAGTTTTTTTCACCTTCGCATATTTTTTGTTCCGTCAAACAATATTAAATTATAACTCATAGTCTGGTATAGTTAGGTTATAAACATGTTACACATTCACACCAACAATTACATTAAAACTAAATAGTTTAATCTGAAACACAAGTTTCTAATTTGAATTCAATTATAATAACTTATTTTAATTTAGTCTATATGGTTTTTCTTGCTATTACTTAAAATTGGTACTTCTTTCTGCACTGTCGTTATTAACGTTGAACTAACTATATAACTAACAATAGCAAATCTGTTGTTTCTACAGTAGTGGATTTTTCAACATGAACGGCGCACGTGAGCTAAACAGTCAAATCATAGACCCCTAATTTCAAACTATAGTCCAGAAGGAAGTCAGCCAGTACCACCTGCTACTACTAAGACTTGTCCGGCTCTTTGAACCGAAAAAGAAAACTGGCTATCACTTCTATAATGTGTCCATAGCTGAAAATGCAAAGTGTCTTCAGCGGTATCATGTCTCGAAACCCGGCCCCTTCGATACATTACGTTTCTGCAATATCCATGTGATGAAACTTTTACAGAAACAATATAAATATATATATATCTGTGTGTGTATATATATATAGAAAGAGAGAAAGACGTGTGTGTGTGTATATATATATAGAGAGAGAGACGTGTGTGTGTGTGTATATATAGAGAAAGACGTGTGTGTATATATATATATAGAGAGAGAAAGACGTGCGTGTGTGTGTGTGTATATATATATAGAGAGAAAGACGTGCGTGTGTGTGTGTGTGTGTATAGAGAGAAAGACGCGCGCGCGTGTGTGTGTATAGAGAGAGAGAAAGACGCGCGCGCGTGTGTGTGTGTGTCTGTATACTACTTTTATAGGCTACTAAAGAACAAAAACTGAATGACAGTACTTACACTATTCGCGATTTTATTTTCATAAGATATATTTATTGACTAAATATTTTAAGAAACTTGGTACATATATATCCCTCCAATAATAATTATTATGGACGGAGGTTTAGGGGAATACTAACCTATTTTCAACAATAAACCTTAAATTCATTTTATGGGTAATGTTTAAAAATTAAATTGAGAAGCTCGTTATTTACTGATAGAAAACTTTCAAAGTTCACTACTTTCAAACAATAATCCATAATAATATGTATTTAAAACTATATCCTCTTAATTTTAAAGCTAAGTTAATGTACATACATTGTGAAGAAAGAAAAGAACTACAGGTAGGTTACTCTCCGTCATTAATGAGAGAAAATTTAACAGACGTTCAGTCAAAAGTTTAAAGACCGAAAACGGTTACCGAAACATGTAGTCGTACTGAAATAAAAACTATATATATACGTTTTAAAATATTAGTTCATTATATCTTTAAATTGGTAAATAAAATTATGAACGTGTTTTTGTCTTTTTGATTTAATGATAATGCAGTGTGTATATATATATACAAACCAATTTATTTGAACAGACAAACGGATATGCAAAATGGACAATTAGATAACAATTAACAATGTTTGAAACTTGTAACACTTTCTTGACAAATAATTGAGAACAATCACGTTAATCGTCAAACTGTTAACAGTATTGTTTTCATGTACATAGACGAACTGTCTAATTTAGATATCGCATGAAATAGATATAGCTATCTATATATGTGTATGTATATATATATATATATATATATTAAGAAGTAAGGTCTTACCTTGCAATTACTTGTACGTTTTTGTCCATGTTCTCTTTCAATATACTTTGGGGGTCAGATGAGATTTTTATCTTCTGTCCACATATTGTGTAAATCATCTCACCTCTCTTGGCACCTGATTTTGAAGCCGAGCATTGTGGAGGGTCGTGACCATCTACACAATGCATCATTGTGAGTTTGCAGTCCACCAAACGTTGGTCAAATACGTGGCGTTCTTCCCTCGAAGAGACGCCCTTGACGTTTGTAAAATAAATTGGATAAATTTGGCCTCAAGCACATGAATCAGATGCCTTCCTCTCCTCGTTGGCGAGGTAAGGTGCTAAGGCACGTTTTCCTAACGTTATTGATCTCCTGAAGGGTGAGTTTGACTATCCTGATTCACCATAACCTTGAGAAGACGTATATTCCTTTTTTATCAGCTGTTAAGGTCATAGACTCCATGGGGGCTGTTGGATTTTCACGTTGTAGCTTTCCTCTATCACAATGGGCTTTTGATGTTTGTGTAGCTGTGTTCCTCAAGATGTACATTTTCATTTTTAATATTTAAAATAGGTGAAAAGTAACTTGTCTAAAATTTACGTATTTACAGACGTATTCAAAGTTCACATTAGTGCTGATACATCAACATCACATTTACTGGTGACGTTTATAATTATTCAACATTGGCTTTTATAACGCTTATTGTATTAAGACAGCATATTTCTATCCGAAAGTATACAAAAGCTAGAAAGGAAGAAATTTAACAATCCACTTTGAAACTACTGCTCACATGAACTATCTTTAACACTAGCAACGTGTTTTATTACTGTTTCACAAAGGTGCATCAATTTACGAATTTTACAAGAAAAACCACATGGCAGTTATTAGATTCAAATACAAATTGTCCTATTATAACATTATAAATAGCCATCTTTGTTTCATTCTTGAATTTTGCGCGAAGCTACAAAGCTAGCCGTCCCTGTTTTGAAATGATAGACTAGATGAAAGGCAGTTACCTAGACAACATCACTAACCGCCATCTCTCGGGCCACTCTTGTCAGATCGAATAGTGAAATCTAACCGTCATTCTTATAATGTCTCAGACAACAAAGCACATTTTGGGGGGGGGGGTGCAGCAATGGGACGCGAGCCACGGAACTTTAGACCCACAGTTCAGTACGCTAACCACAAATTTTCTTTCCTTACGATTAGTTTTTTAAATAAACTTTTGTTTCCTTACGCCAAGTCGTCTACAAGTTTAAGCTACTATCTGTATCACTGCAGATGGGTGGACTTTCGTAATAGAAATTAGAGTGTCAACTTTACATTTATTATGTGATATCATTGTTTATTAATTTACCACACCGTTATGAAATACTACTTTTATCAACAGTAGTGATGCAGCTTTAATGACATAGTATAAATAACAATAATAAAATGCATTATTAAATTTGTATTATCAAACGTTGATACGCATTTATAATTTTACAGAACGAAAATAAATGTTTCGAAAAGATTAATTTGAGCCCGCCAGGACCCATCAAGTTGTCCATCCTTAATGGAGAGTTTTATGCTGCAGTGTGATTGACTAAGACTAATTACAAATAAAGGACAAAAACCAAAGCATTGTTTCCAAATTTACGTCATAAGATAACTTTTAGAAAGTTTTTGAATGGTAATTTATTTTCCTTTTATAAATACTTTTCATTTTACGTCTTTACTAAAGATAATGAACTGGAATTGGAATAATTGAATTTTAACGCAAACGGCATCTTATGCGCATGTGTGCTAAACAGGCAGGTTTAGAGGCCTCTAGAATTCAGGTATATCTATCCCTAATCTGAACGATGAACCAGAAAGAAAGAAAATCAGCTAAGCAACACCCGCCAACGCAATGTCTTTGTCTGTCTCATCGACTGTTACTTTTACGACGTCCTTGCACCTGAAGATGTGTCGCGAGCTCGGTGCATCACGTCTCTTTGGATCCATAGCCAAATACGCTAATCACGATGGCCCGCTAATCTACTGACACACCCACTTTGAAACAACTTATTTATTTTATTTAAAACAAACTAACACAAAGAGAGAATTGCTGTTAACACAATTCATATTTTATAGTATGCTTCGCAATACTGTGCTGATAAAAACATCCATGAAAGTCAATCAAACAAACCAAACCTGAAAATTCAAGTCACCAAAAATACTAAATATATCTAACTTAAAGTATTCTTAGCCTTTCCTTGTACTGATAACTATTCAACAACAGAATCCCCTAGTGAGCAATCTATAATGATATTTGGTACTTTGGCATTTATCAGTGTGTGTGTGTGTAAAAATGGATAGCAATCTTCTAAATAATTGTTTTAAACTTGTATTGTGTCATAGCCAATTTCACAGAAAATTTGGGAATCATTGGCGATTCTCTCACACTAAACGAAACATACCTACAGTCAAGCTCTTAGAATAAAGAAAATATGCTCAGATGAAACAGACTACAGAAAACACACCAAGGATCTGAAACAAACCATGTTACAAAGAAGATATAAAGATACCGAAATCTACAGACAAATTTTCTGACAAGCACAATCAAAGAAACTTTAAAATATCCAAATAAATCACTTGTGAAACAAAATACACCATTTACCTTATACAATGTAAAAATGCAATTACCAACATGTAGGACACACATAAACAACTCTTAGAGAACGTTCAACAACCATAAATCTTCTATTAA